GTGGAAGGGGCGGGATCTGAAAGAGTGGCGTGGCGAGAACTATGGTCTTTAGGGCGGATCATTAAAGAGGCGGCGCTGCGGCGGCGCTGGCGCCAAAACCGGACTCCGCCCACTTCCTCGCTCTGGGGGTGGGTATCTCCCGATGCCGGGAGGTGGGTGGGGAAGGGAACTGGGCTGGGGCGGGATCGGGAACGAAGAAGGGTGCCCTTCGGCCCCCGAGACTGGACCCCACAGATCCTCCTGGCCAGGGTCAGGTTGGCGGAGCGCGCAGTGTAACGTGTTGGCTAGAAGTGGCTTCGGGTGTACCCGGAAGGGGCCGAGTCAGCCCTCGGCGCCGGGGGAGGGGAGAGGGGAAGGGGAAGAGCTGCGGAGAGGCCACACAGATTTCCCCGGGGCAGCGGGCCAGGAGGGAGCACTGTCCAAGGCTGTGCTGAGGGAGGGGGCCTCGGGGCTGCGGATCCAGCTCCACCCGACAGCTTTAGTCTCCAAGGGCGCGACCGTTTCTCACCTGCCCTGCGCTCAGGCGGGGGCTGGAAGCCGGCTCCAGCGAGGGGACTGCGCCGCCGCGAGCCTCCCGCGATTCACGGAGCCGGCTTACGCCAGTGACGCCCCGCGCTCCCCGGGGCGGGGAGGAGGGCGGAGTCCACCGTCGGCGTAAGGAGGGCGTGGAGGGTTCCCGCCATTGGCGGCAGTTAGGGAGTTCACGCAGCGCCCTGACGTAGGGACGCGTCGGTGGGAGGGAAGGTTCTAGAAAAGCGGCGGCCGCGGCCGGAGCGGCATTAGCGGCGGCGCCGGCTCAGCGTGCGGACGTGCCTCTAGCCTTGTTGTTTCTCCAGCGGCGGCAGTTCTCACTACAGCGCCAGGACGAGTCCGGTTCGCGTGCGACCGCGGAGATCTCTCTCATCTCGCTCGGCTGCGGGAAATCGGGCTGAAGCGACTGAGTCCGCGATGGAGGTAACGGGTTTGAAATCAATGAGTTCTTGGAGAGGGCATGGCGCGGCCGTTGGCGCCTTTGTGGAAGCCGGCCCCCCCCCCCCGTCTCGCGGGAGAGCGGCCGCGGAACTGGGCCACTCCAGAAGCGGTTCGTCCCAGGACACGATGGCAGAGGGGCCCTTGGCCGAGGCCTGTTTGTGCAGCACGTTCCCCACCCTTCAGCCTCCCGGCGCCATTTCCCTTGGCTGGGGGTGGGGGATGGGGATCGCCCACATGGCGGACGCAGCCCCGCTTTAGGGAAAGTGGGGCGTGGAGGCGGGAGGTGCTCCGGCCCCGTTACCGCAGGCGGGCGCGGGGGCCCCGGCGTCCCCGCGAGCGAGCGCCCCGGCGCGTCCGGGGTCCCCCGGAGCGAGGCTGCGGCGCCTCCCCTCCCCCTCCCCCGGGAACCGGATTTGGCGGCCGCCATTTTCATTCCTCTCCGTCCTCGCCGCGTTTTCCTTTTTAACTGTCCGAATGCTACTACGTGGCCTCCCTTACCAAAGAATAGAAGTGGGCCACTCTTTTCCTTCCTCCCCGGGCCGGTTTCGTGCGGTTTTGAGGCGGGTGCCGAGTGTTTTGGGCGCCCGGCTCTGTGAAAGTCCTGCGCACGTCGTTAGAGGCGCGCTCCCTTCCTCTCGATGAAATGGCGCCATTGCGTTCAGAGCCACAGCGAAGGGCGGGCGGGCGGGGGGGGCGAGCTGGTCGCACCGCTGGAGAGCCTCCCGGTAAAGCGTTGAGCCCAGTTTTAAGGCGACCCAAAGCACAAAGAAAACATTTTGTTTTGCAGGGCTTATTTCTCTGAATAACGGTTTTTCCCCCCCTGGTCTGCGGTGACTAAAAAGTCAGTTTTGCAACCAACTTTACAATTAGAAATAAAACCAAAATTAGGACCCATCAGATTAGTACCCGTTATGGGTAGCTGTGGGGAAGGTTATAGCTGCGGGCGTATTCATTTTTGAAAACTTCATTTTCCTGAAGGCCTCCCTTTGAATTGTATTTTTCGTAGTCTAAAAAATACTTTTACCTGTAAAATTATTCTTTACTGGTTAAGACCATGCATTCTTGTAAGTAATCGGAAGTGAAATAGAAATGATTATCCTTCAGACTTTTTAAAAAACACGGCTCAGTCCTTCAATGCGTGTATTGCTGTAGATAGGTTTTTGGCTGTGCCGCTATGTATTTGAACTTTGTCACTTGCTTTTTTTTCATTTATGTTTGCAATCATGGTTGATCATTACATTGATAAGTATAAGGTCTCAAGCGGGGGGGGGGGGTCTACCTGGGCATTTTCTTTCACTCTGTGTTCCCTTGTAAAATAAATTTGTAATCGATAGTGGACATCAGGTAAGTTTGGAGAAAACTGAGGTAAGTAAGCTTTTGCTTTTGTTAGTGATTTGAAAAAATTGTATATGCACTTCTTTAATCTCAGTAATTTACTTGGGGTTTAAAACACCTATTTTTCTGACAATACAGTGTTTAGCAAGTAAAATTAGCTTTAAGAATTCATATACCAATATGCAAAGTAATCATTTTAATATATTGACATTTAAATATATTAGGAGCTAGTTTGATAATTGGTTAATCCTGAAATTTTTTTCAGATTCCTGAAAGCAGTTAACAGTAAAAAAAATGTCTGACTTGCTTATCAGTGTATTTTTTTGTTAATGGGAGAATGTCACGCGCTCAGCGAGAAGTCTGCATATGACTGGGTTGAGTTATAATGCTATTTGGGAATAAAATTTCCTGTTTTATCGAAAGTCACATTAATTTATATTGCACATGCATAGCAGTTGGTCATGGACAGCAGAACTAATTTTTAAAAAAAATGTATTCACCTGAAAACCAGACGACCTCCAATCCATACTTTTCAGCTCCAAATTCAGGACTGATAAAACAGCTAGTTATTTGCTTGCTGGTTTGTGGGGATTAAGAGATTTCATCCCAGGCTTTTATCCTTTTTGCTTGTAAAATTATAGAAACACGTATGTTGTATAGCTTTGTCAGATGTCCAATAATAAGTTCAATATGCTTGAGCTTTCTGTGTTTTTTTCCCAGTGGTAGTAGTCACAGTGCTCATTTAAATATTTTTATGTTAAAATTTAAAAAAGTGAAGTGCTTACAGTGAATGTATTTTACTGACTTAATAATGGTTGTTAGCCCTATATTGAGCTTGTTTCTGAATTGTCAATTTAAGTACCAGAAATTGGAGTGCCCACGAAATCATGGTTATTACTTTTTAAGATATAAACAATCTTTAGTTGGTCATGAAGATCAGTCCGTGTTGGTCAGAGAGTGAATTTTAAGGATATTTTGCTACATATATTGAACATTTAAGTTTTTACCCCAATGGAAAGTAGTTGGTAAATGGGGAAAGGATTTTTTTCTTATTGCGATACATTAAATCTCCACCAGAGGGAGCAAATGAAAGAAATGAAACACTTTAAATCCTAAATGGTAAAAACTGAGTATTTAATGCTAATTCTGTTCTAGGATATAGGGTTGAATGCAATTTCTGATGAGAATTTCTTAACTCTTCAATGACCAGGGAATAGATTTGCTCCTTTCTCTTCAGAAAGTATTTTAAGTGATACTGAATATATGAGAATGTCAAGTAAGTTTAAATGAAGCATATGACTTTGAAACGTGTAGTACCTCTGACGAAATTTTTTGGTGTAACACAACTAAATATACAGTTTAACATATGGTTTAAATTTGATGTAAGTTTTTTTTTTCCCTCCAGAAAACTTTAGAAACTGTTCCTTTGGAGAGGAAAAAGGTACTCTGCCAGCAGGTCACCTTATATTTAAGAATTTAAATTCCTGCATACAAAGAGAAAATGTAAATAAAAATTGAAATGGTGTTTTCCTTTGCAGAGAGAAAAGGAACAGTTCCGTAAACTCTTTATTGGTGGCTTGAGCTTTGAAACCACAGAAGAAAGTTTGAGGAACTACTATGAGCAATGGGGGAAACTTACAGACTGTGTGGTACGTTAAATACAT